GGTATACATGGCGAATAGATCTATGCGCGGATAGCCCCATCGTTGAAAGATGAAGTGAGTGAATTGCGGGTTCAACTCCCACTCATGTTGATGGAAGAATCGTCTGCTAAGCGTGTCCGCTATAGAGTTGTCCTTGCCTGGCAAGTATGTTGCAATGATATTGATCGTGTGCTGGTTGCATCAATTCCATAGGCATGTAACCTCTGTATGGCGAATAGATCTATGCGCGGATAGCCCCATCGTTGAAAGATGAAGTGAGTGAATTGCGGGTTCAACTCCCACTCATGTTGATGGAAGAATCGTCTGCTAAGCGTGTCCGCTATAGAGTTGTCCTTGCCTGGCAAGTATGTTGCAATGATATTGATCGTGTGCTGGTTGCATCAATTCCATAGGCATGTAACCTCTGTACAGAGGGATTTGGATCTCGCTCTGCCTTGGCGGTCGATATATTATACCACAGTAGTGTTTTTGGTAAATACTTGGACTGTGCGGCATGTGATTTTGGATACAAACGCCTTGCATGCATTGCGTACTGCCCTCAGTTCTAACAGATTGATGTGTTGGTGTGATTCCGTTGCTGTCCATTGGCCTTGCACCCACTCTCCCATGCACTGCGCTCCCCATCCAATGAGGGATGTGTCCATGGTAATCTGGATGTCTGGTTGTGGACGACAGAAGGGGATGCCTGTAAGCATGATGGAGGCGGACATCCACCATTTTAGAGAATGTTTGACTGTATGGGGCATTGTAACTGGCCTGTGAACATTGTGTTCACCAGGGTGGTATACTGACGCGATCCAGTATTGTAGGCATCTCAGGTGCAGCCTTGCATGCTGTACCATGTAAGTGGTCGCTGCCATATGTCCTAATAGCCTTAGACAAGATAGTATGTCGATTCTTGGACTTATCAAGATAGTGCGGGTGAGATCCTGAATCTTCTGGAATCTCGTTCTTGGAAGGTAAGCCCTTGCTGTTATAGACTCTAACTGTGCCCCAATGAACTCTAGGGAAATTTGAGGTGTTAGAGAGGACTTTTGGATATTGACGACTAGACCTAGTGTTGTAAATAGGTTTTCTATAACGTGGGTCTCCCATAGGGCTTGGTCATACGTGGGTGCTTTGAATAAACAGTCATCTAGATATGGAAATATCATTATGCCTTGTCGGCGGACGTAGCCTGAGACTACAGAGAGGGTCTTCGAGAAAACCCTCGGCGCGGACCACAGGCCAAAGGGAAGGACTTTGTACTGAAAATGTTGGTCGTCTATCATGAATCTGAGGAAATGTCTGTGTGCAAGGTGAATTGTGATGTGAAAATATGCTTCTTGTAAATCGAGGGATGTAAACCAATCTCCTGGGTTCAATGCTGGAATTATAGAAGCTAGCGTCACCATCTTGAACTTGTGTTTTCTAAGATACCGGTTGAGACGTCGTAGATCTAAAATGGGTCTCCACCCTCCTGATTTTTTCTCTGTAAGAAAATAACAGGAGTAAAAACCCCTCCCATGGAAGTGATCCAGTACTCTCTCTACAGATCGTTGAACTGTTTGACATCATCCACTGGAGAAGAGTCCCTGGGGAAAACCACGTCATCTGGTGATGAGGAGGATTGGTCAGTTGGGGACTGTGACTGAGCCTCTGGCTGATCCGGGGTGGGTTCTGGCTGTACCGGTTGGTGAGGTGTAGGCGGTGCATCCCCTGAGGAGGTTGGGGGTCTAGAGGATGTCTGTGGAGATGGGATTCTGGTGGTGCTGGTCGAATGCCTTCAATGGTAATATGGAGAGGGAAAACGACTATATGAGCATCTGGGAGAGTAATAGTGTCTGCGTCGATGATATCTGTCGTATCCATGATGCGAAGAAGATGCGTAATATTGTGAGTATTCTCTATGAGAGAAGCGTCGATATCCCCTGTGAGGGGATCTTGTCGCTGATCTTGGAGATCGAGATCTCCGCCTCTGGTAAGAAGGTGAGCATCGCCGGCCATGGAATCGCTGCGGAGATGGCGAGAAACGTGGAGAGCACCTGTAGTGTGTGGCCGATGAGTCTCTTTGATGCATGTGCACCCAAGGTGACAACTGCCCTGGAGAAGGCTGAGGAGAGAACGCTGCCGGTTCCGGGCTGGGAGATGGAGTTATTATTCTCCTGGATTTGTGAGTTGCCTTGTGGCCGGAGGTTGGACCAGCACCTGTGTTGGTGAACGCACTGGAGAAGACGGTGCCTCTGTCGTCAGCACCGGTGGGATCGGTGCCGCTGACTCCAATGCGGTCGGTGCCGGCACGAGATGTAACGGTGCCGCATGACTATCTGGTGCTGCAATTGGTGCTGTCAGGTTATTTCATTGACAGCTGACCACCAAGCCCAAAGATAGTGATGGGCTAAGGCAGAGAGATAAAGAGGGCAATCTTGGTGCTGGCATGGTGCCAGCTCCTTGCACCACGGTGCCGATTTTGTCGGTGCCGATTTCGTCGGTGCTGCTTGTTTTTGTTTAATTGGCACCGGTACTGAATTGGCCCTAGGCAGTGCTGGAAACACCTGTGCCATTTCCCTGTACGAGGCTGGACTCAGCTCCGAGACCATGCATCCTGTCCTGCACCTGTGGGCCTAGCTACCCAAGGTAAGCCAGATATGCCCAGTCTGTCTGCTGCACTGATCCTATGAGAAGCCTTACCCGCGGTCGTGGGGTTCGCAGCAGAGTCTCTCTCAGCAGATTGGAGTGCCTTGTTGAATAGCAACATCTTCACGTGCATCTCACGGTCCCTCCTTGTGCGGGCTGTGAGCTAGGAGCAGTGAGGGCAATTTTGGGGAATGTGACCCTCTCCAAGGCACTTAATGCAGCTCACATGGCCGTCCGACGCTGGCATGGCGTCACGACCTGATGAACGCTTTGTAAAACCAGGAGACCCTGGCATTTTGAATTCTTCTTCTTGTTCGTTTTTCTTTTCTTTTTTTAAAACTATGTACAACTAGGGTAACTGAGAACTATGTATAACTAACTTTAACTAATTTAACCCTGGTTTTTTGTTTGTTTTTTTGTTTTTAACTAACGAACTAAGTAGATGTAACTAGAGTAATTACGAATGAAATGAAGATTAAAGTAAGGAAATCTGGATTTTTTTTTAGTCAGAAAAGAAAGAGAAGCAGTTCACTCCGCCTGCGACCGTGAACGGTTAGGAGGAACTGGCAGGAGCCAGACCATGCACAGCCTCAGAAACGGTGCAAAGGGCACGTGATACCACTGCGCATGCATGGTCCAGCTAAACCATGGCTAATAAATCTCCGACCTGCAGCGCCAGGATGAGCCCAACACTTAGAGTGGAGCACCCAGGGAGACACTACCCGAAGAAGAATTGGGGAAGCTAGCTTTGTAATGGGTGAGATAATTAGCATCTTTGTTAAGGCCCATACATAAAGTATCAAATTTAAGCATGAATGACAGTTCTGAGGCTTCTCCTTGAAATCTGGAGTTAAAATCTCTTTGAAGCAATATGGATATTTAAAGGTCATTGAGAGAATGGTCAGTCTGGTTAATATGGCTGCAACTCTATCACTATACCACTAGAACAAAATCCAGGACTATGTAGCACTTTAAAGACTAACAAGATGGTTTATTAGATGATGAGCTTTCGTGGGCCAGACCCACTTCCTCAGATCAAATAATGGAAGAAAATAGTCACAACCATATATACCAAAGGATACAATTTAAAAAAAATGAACACACATGAAAAGGACAAATCACATTACAGAACAGAAGGGGGATGTGGGGGGGGGGGAAGGATGCTATGTACATTGGACAAACGTCTCAGACACTTCGCCAAAGAATCAATGCCCACAAAACAGACATTAGACAGGATCACAAAGAAAAAACAGTTGCTTGTCATTTCAACCAGAAAGGACACAGTCTGAATGACCTGCTAACCTGCATCCTACTTCAGAAGACATTCAAATCTGCACTTGAAAGGGAATCCTCTGAACTGGCATTCATGCTAAAATTCGACACTCTCCACAGGGGACTTAACAAAGACTCCAGCTATCTTACCCATTACAAAGATAGCTTCCCCAATTATCACCTCTAATACTATTAACTCACAGACATTTCCCCTTCCC